CCACTTAACCAATTTTAACTTTACAAATTAACACTGTTCAAGTGAGTTGATTTAAGTTTTCAAATGAGGTGGTTTATGTAAACAGAGTTCAAATACTGAAGTATTTGATTGTGAATATGTTGATAATGATTTTTCACAACTAATATATTCAATTTAGCTATCATATTTGGCATGGCTATATATTTTTATATGAAAAGGAAATGGTCAGCAGAAGATAAAGAAACAAGACAAGTTCTTTACTTTGTGCATAGAATAGTAGGTAATTGAAGATATTTTTTAATCAGCAAGTTCAAAGCACTTATTAAATCAATATCAGATGGTTTTTGTTCTATAATACATAAAAAAAATTTTTGTATTGATTATCTTATAAGAAGAAAAAAAATGTTTTAGTGTTTTTTTTTACCACTTGAATAATTAAATGAAATCAATAAATTTTTTATCAAGATAAATATGTGTTAATATATGTTTTTTTAATATTATTTTCTTATTTCTTCCGGAAATCATGTTGTAAATCTTCTTTTGGAAATCATGTTGTAAATCCAATACAAAATCTTTAAAATAATTTTAAAAGTTTGAAAATATTTAAAGCTAAGAATATATTTTGTGATTTAATTCAAACTTTATTTTTATCACATTGCCTTTAATATTGGTTTACTACAGCCAATATGGCAACCAAACTTAAAGTTATCAAACAAAACATCAAATTAAAAAGTTTTGATTAATAATTTTGTTCCATTTTTTATTTATTACTACAGGGTTGTTAACTATAATATATGTTAACTATACATATGTTAACTAACTTGTTTCAGAACTAATGAGCTAAGTTGCGGTCAAGTTGTAATTTGTTATCACCAGGCAACAGGTTTTAATAAATATGTAATGAAACTATAATGTTGATTGTTTCATAAAATATTTGATTCCTTTTGTTTTTTCTATGTTTATGGTAATGTTGTTCCAAAAAATCTATCTTTATTGTTTCTGTTGTCATTTTGTGAAACATTTATTAGATTATCATTAAATTTACAGTGTAAATAGACAATCGACAATAAGCATAAATTTACAGTGTAAATAGACAATCAACAATAGAAACAAGCATATTAAGCAAAGTAATTAGAACTAAAAGTCACCATGGTAATTTTTTGTGTACACAACAAAATAATTTCTTAAATCAATTTTATGAAAAATGCTTATATAGTTATAAATAAAGAACAGTAAAAATATAAATAATAATAATAATAAAATTATCCATATAATTTGAACTATGTTTTTTAAAATGGTCTTATTATATTTACTACGCAACTCGACAACTGCGTTTAAAAACAAAATGAGATGAGACAAGAAGGTGCAGATATTTATATTTCTTTTTATCTTGTAATGGATATAAACCTCTTGTAAAATAAAAATTTTATGATCTTAACATTTGTACCTCTACCTAATAGTACCTAACTAATTACATAGGTTCATTTGAGTTACACAAAATCATACTTGTTTTAAGTGTGAGAATTCAAAGTACTAAACTTTTAATTTTAATTATAGTTTCAAGTTTAAGTTTTTTTGTTTTTATTAAATTGTTTTTAGAGATATTTAAAGTATGAATTACTTTATTTCTTTTTAGAGGTTGTTCGCAAACATGATACTCAATGTCTTAATAACAAAGAATTATCACCATATCTTCCTATACCACATGTTAGAGATATGTTAATTCCATTGGAAAAAAGGTAATAATTATAATTAATAATTGTTCTTAAAGAAATCAGTATAAATAGTTTAACAAACTTTTATTAATTTTTCATTAAATTTATATTTTTTTCAAGCACACTGTAAAAATATTATTGTTAAATTAGTAACCAATTGCTTTAAGAAATTTGAAATCTTTGAAAATTGAAAATTTGTTTTTACCCATTTTCAGCTTTTTTCTACTTGAAATGGTTCATTTTTCCAGGTTCATTTTCAGCTCCTTGAAATTTTCTTATTTATCAAGGCTCATGTTTTAGAGTTAATGGGTTATGTAAGGGTTTGTTGTAAAAAGATATTTTTTTAAAAAAAAAAAAAAAAAAAAAGATTTTTTAGAACCATTTTCACTTTTTATTATTAGTTATATTTATGTAAATTCCTTAAATTTCAAAGAATCATGCATTTTTGGAAGTTTTCACTGAAGAGTACACGGTGTAAATTGCTTAAATTTCAAAGAATCGTTTTTAAAAGTTTTCAAATTCTGTTTCAGTATTAGTTATGGCTGAAAATTTAATTTAAACCGATAAGAAGCAAAATTTTAGTTAAAAACAAAATCAATGACTTTAAATTTTTATTTAATTTAGAAAAATAGTTATTTTTGACATTTTTTACTAAATGTTTTACCATTTCTAAATGAAATTTAAACCCATTGCATATTCTAAAAGAAAAACCCATTATCGGTTAAAAAAAAACAACAACCATTGCGGTTTCAGAAAACTTGTTAATCTTTCATAAGCTAGGCAAACCTTATGTTTAATTATTCTTTCTTGACTATTTGGTATTTACAAACACAAGAGTTAGGCAAACTTTAGGAAAAATTTATGCAAAAAATCTATTAAGTGCGAGATTATGTAAATAAATGAAAAATTACTTTACATTTGCAACTATTATAGTTAGTATTTATAGAGTTTAAGGTAGTGAGTATGTATTTATAGAGTTTTAATGAATCTATTGTTTTTAAGATATTGTCTCTCTTGTTTTTAAATTTATTGTTTCTTAATTTACTGTTTCTGAACTTAGTTTGTTCCAATCGTTTACAATTCTCTTAGTAAAAAAAAGCATCTTGGTAAACACAGTTTAATGAGCTGCTTAGTGATAGGGTGCTGATTTCTTAAATGAAGTTGGTTGATATTTGAAGGGTTTATGTAATTTCAATAATTTTAATCTCTTGTGGATTTTCTATCAATATATTAAGTTACCTCTTGCTCTTCGTGTTTCTTAAGACATAATTCCTAATCTTTTTAGCTAGTCTTCATAGCTTTACTTTCTTAGCTCATTAATAGTTTTTGTTGCTCTTCTTTGTATGTTTTCTATATTTTTAATGTCACCTTGTACAGACACCAAACAGGCATTGCTTATACTTGAAATATTTTTCATATTCATATTCACATTATAATTGAAGAAATTTTAAATTTAACTTATTATTATTAAACTATTTGAAGATCTCCTTTAAAGTTTAACAGTAATTAGTTACAATGTTAACATCAGCATCAAATAACTGTTATTAAAAACACTATTTTAAAGGGACTATATAGACATCAATACTTCAACTTTATCATGTTTTTATCTAAAATTGGTTGAAATATATTTACTAGATATTTTGATATTCCATAAATTGGTGTTCTGATGGTTGAAACTACTAATTGCAGAGGGTATGATTTTTCTGGTTTGTGCGCTTTAATTACACCATACTTACGTGGTGGTACTGGGTCGCTTGGGTAAAGACTTTCATATTCTTTTTTGGTAAATAGAAAAAAGGAAGGTTTACTGCAATTTTTTTGAAAATAAAGCAATCAACATTGCGCTTCATTCTAATCCACCATTAGAAATAAAATTGTTTTTGAGGTACATAGATGACAGCCACGCAAGATTTACAAATAAAGATAATGCCATCCGTTTTCAATGAATACTAAACAGCCAACATCATGCCATCAAATACACAAATGAATTGGAACATGAAAACAAAAGATTAAATTTTTTAGACATCCAAATAACCAATAATGGAAAAGGAAATTATGATTTAAAGGGATCCCTAAATGCCAAGACAAGTTGTATTCATATTAAAGAAAATGTTTAAAAAAAAACATTTGGGCTGAGTTCTTTTGATTGAAACTAAATAATGAATGCATACCAACAAAATTAATATTTTTTTTTAGTCGAAGCTTGCCTTCTCCATATTTTTTTTTGGTTCTCTGGGTCTGTGTAATGTTAGCCGCAATCTGCAGACTTGGTATTTATTCCAAGCGTGTTTAATTCATAATAGTTTTGGTATATGATGTCATCGCAATTTCTTTTTAAGATAGTTGTTGTTTTTTTAAAGATATAAGTATTTTTTACTCTACTACAATCAGAAAATCAAATATTTGTAAATCACAAAAAATATTTGTGATTTATTAAAAAATTATACAAATATATATATATATATATATATATATATATATATATATATATATATATATATATATATATATATATATATATATATATATATATATATATATATATATATACATACACACATTCTATACACATATTATCTTAACATATATATACACACATAATCTTAACATATTAAATAAATAAATCAACATTGGTTAGCTGCGCAAATATTTTAAAGTTATGTCAAAGTTAAGGTAGCACATACCTAACATAACTTTTCTTGCTTAAATATGCCATTGAACTTATGAAAAAATTTTCGCAAGATATTTTGTAAGCAAGCACATAACTTTTGTGAATATGAAATTAGGTAATTTAGAATTTACAACAAATTTACGCCAAACTTAAACAATCACTTGACTTATTTGAATTATTTGAAAGTTTTGTGAATCCGCACCCTGCTTTTTAAAAATATCAAAACCGCAAATAATCAAATCATTGCAGTGCGAATAATATTTTGAATTTTGCACCTATAGTGTCTTGTTTAAAGAAAACAAATTTGGTTTAAATAAAAAGTGAACAAGGTTAAAAATTTTTGGATGTAATCTTTTAGTTATTTTTATAGATTTTTCTATAAGTAATTTTATTTTTTATATTATTTATTTATGACTATTAAATTATTGTTATAAAGATGGAAAGAAGTTGTTGAAATAATCAAAAAATGTAAAAAAACAACAAATCTAAAAAAACAACAAATGTAAAATAGCATTTTTAGATAAAATTAATTTTGGCTACACAAAATTAATTTTATTAGTGAAAGAACATTTTCTAATACAATTAATTTTGTGTAGCCAAAATTTAGTTTCAATAAAATGTTTGCCAAAATGTCAGTTTTGGTATTGAACTATTATACTATAATTGTACAAATGTAAAATAGCATTTATATATACAAATGTAAAATAGCATTTTTAGATAAAATTAATTTTGGCTACACAAAATTAATTTTATTAGTAAAAGAACATTTTCTAATACAATTAATTTTGTGTAGCCAAAATTTAGTTTCAATAAAATGTTTGCCAAAATGTCAGTTTCGGTTTTGAACTATTATACTATAATTGCTCCTCATAGAATTTTTTCATAACGGTGATTGTCTTGTTGAAATGTCCATAAAAGAGGCACATTATTGTTAGCATAAGGAACCACTTTTTCCTTTAGAATATCATGATAAATATAATGATCCATAATGCCATTTATTCTGTAAATAAATAATGCCATTTATTCTTTGACTCCATAAAACCAGAAAAACAACCCTAAACCACTACAATTGACTTATTGGAATACTTTGTTGCAATATTTTTTTATGACTCCTTTCTTATGATCTTTTATAATATATTCTCGAAAAGCTAAATTTTTTTTGTTTCCTGCCATTATAAAATCCAAAACAGCATAATTATGCGATCTCAAATTAATATTGTAATGATTGCAACACTCCATTTTCCTCTCTAAACAAAATTTAACAATTGGTCGATTGAATAAGTATTACAGCACTACCACTCATTGAATAAGTATTACAGCACTACCACTACCAGTTCCTTATAATTGTTGCAACTTCAAAAACAGTTAATAAACTAATGTAGATATTTAAATCTTAAGGAATGTAGAGGTAGAAATAAATGTATTCTTATTATTTTTAGTATTATTTTTATGTATTCATTTAAAATCCATGTTTAATTATAGTTTTAATGAAAAAGTGTAATAATATATATATATATATATATATATATATATATATATATCAACCTTCGGAATCAGGAAAAATGAAGTCGGCAATAAATTGCTGACCTCAAACTGTTAGAGGTTAGCAAAAAAAAAATTTGACACAAAGTAGTTTCCATAAAACATAGAAATGAGGTCGGCAATTTTTTTCTGACCTCAAACACTTTTAAGTCAACATTGCCGACCCTAATTCTAAGGGCTGATTTATGTGCTCTTTTTTGCGTTCTTTTTTGGTTTAATTTGTAATTTAATAATCAGTGTTCTATATTTGTTATCGCATAAGGAAACAAGGGTATTCAAGAAAAAATATTATTTTACTTTTCAAGGTATTTTTTTTTTGGGCAAATAAAGTTTTAATATGAAAAGATCAATAAATAATACATTCTTATCTTGTGAGTTAAATGAAAGTTCATCAATAAAATATTTGAAGCTAAAGGTGTGCCACATCTTTAAAAATAAAATTTTAAATAAGATTTTGATAGTGTAATAAAACTTGAATAGTTGAATTGAAACTTTGTAAATGTTAAATTTAATATTCTATATTTGCAGACAAATGTTTTATAGAATGCAATACACACAATTTTTAAATAAAATGCAAAGTTAAAGCTTTTAAATTGTTTTTTTAATGAATAAATTATTAAAGTTGCCATTGATGATGTCGTACTGAAAAAACTATCTGTGTTTCAGTACATACATTGATCAAGGGTTTGGGTTTAGACACGTACTATCAAGAAATAAAAAACGTTTATTATAGTAAAAAGTTTTTTTCTCATTATTGTTTGTTTGTTTTTTATCTGGAACAAAAAATGTTGTTTTTATTATAAGAAAAGAAATGGCAAAAACATGGCAAAAAGCAGTTGAATTTCTCAGCTCATCTGATTCCCGCATTCGTGTTGAAACTCAACGTATATCTGGGGAAGATTTTGAAGTATGGCGATGGATTGGGGTGCGAACCCCTGGTATAAAAGAAAAAAAAATAAACAGTAATTTTCATGTAAGTTTTTGTATATATATATTTTTTTTAAGAAAGTGTTAAGTGATTGGGAAAATATCAAAATTATTTTTATAATTATAATGTAAACAATAAAATTTACTTTACTTGGTTCCAAATAAAGTCAGTTGCTTTTTTTAAATTTCATTTGTTGGTACCAGGTATTTTACTTGGTACCAACAATTGAAACTTCATCCATATAATACGTAATTGATCTATGAATGATCTATGAATGAATAATTGATCATCCATATAATACGTAACGCGAAACTAAACTTATAGGCAAAAGACAAAGCATTAAAAGTTTTCCCTCGCAGAGTCATTAATTAAACCAAGTATATAAACTACGTTTAAAAAAGTCCAGCAAAAACCGCCGCGCAAAAGAGCAAAATGATCTCCTACTTATATTTTTAAAATCGCTGTTGCTCGCGCAACGGTACCGTCGCTTTAAATTTTTTCTTAAAATTACGGTAGTGATTTCTGATTGGTTGATTTTTTTTTCCTTTTATTTAAAGAATGCATGCCAAAACCCTTAATTGATGTATGTACACTCACTGTGCCTATCCCTAAATCGGTGGATGTATACATATATCCACTAATTTAGGGATAGGCGCAGTGAGTGTGCACTCACTGCGCCTATCCCTAAATTAGTGGATATATGTACACTCACTGCGCCTATCCCTAAATCAGTCGATGTATGTACAGTCACTGCGCCTATTCTTAAATCAGTCGATGTATATACAATCACTGCGCCTATCAGTCGATGTTTGTAAATAATAAACATAAATGTAACTTTCAATATACAAACAATAATAATAACTTTCAATAAAAATTGTTAAAAAACATTTAAAAACATTTTTCAGATTGTAGAACTCGATCCCGGGACTCCGTCAGTTATGAACAAATAAGAATCCGCGATGCTATGCATACATAATATCGTTACAATTCTTTTAAAATTTGTACAAATAAAAATTTCAAAACTAACCTATCATATTCACAGCCGTGACTTTAAATAAACCCATCAAACTTTACTACCGTTACTTTAAGATAAAAAATTAAAGCAACGGTACCGTTGCGCTAGACACAACGTTTTAAAATAAGTTTTGCGTTGCGTAATTTAAGGACGATCCTTTAAAACATTTTGCTATTCTGTTTAATTTTTTTTTTTTTTTTTTTTTTTGCAATTACATGTACATCTTTTTTGTAGTACAACATGTTATCCATCTATTTTTTATATCAACAATGTGATTTTAATATATATTCTTTTTTTTTTTAATTTTTTGGAGAAGTAGAAACTTTAAAAGATTTAATTTCAAAAAATTGATTTAAATTTTTAGTTGAACTCTGATCAGGATAAATGTTGGCAAGGTCCTGGTAAGTTTACCTAAATATGTTTTAAATCTGAAATGAGCTTTAATTGCGATGTTAATAGTTCTTAATAATTTTAGCATTTGATCAAATTGAGAAAGTTATTCGATTGCCAATAATCACACCTGCGCCTTGTTTAAAAATACGCTGTATGCATGAAGGACCTGAGTAAGATTTTTTTTTTTGTTTTTAGTGGTATATTGACTTTATGTAACTTAAATTTATATTGTTATAAAATTGCAGTTTTTAAACTTTTTAGGTTTAATAACCAACTGTTTCTAATCTTTGAGAAATAAATGTCATATTTAAACCTTTTGGGTGTCAATATATATTTTTTTGGATGCCTTATATATCTTTTTTGCTTTTGTATTAAGTTCATCTTCCAAAGCTCCAGAGGGTACAGTCGAGAAGGCTATTCTTTTTTTATTATTTAAAATAGTTTATTCGTTCTTGTATGAAATATTATTGCTATAATTAGGGCTTTAATAATTAGTTATCTCATTTTTCGCTTACAGTTTCTCAGAAAGGTTTTTTCCTTCTTGCTTAAAACATTTATTGACTTCGTAAAAATATACGTGCTTTGGAATTTTTTTCTTAGTGTTTTTTTCTTTTTCTGATTTGTATAATTAACATTTGTTATGAAATTGTCTGTTATTGATTATCTTGCTTTTTGTCTGTTATCTTTGTTTTATTATTTTCCGAATATCCTCTAACTTGAATAATGGCTGTTTTTGTCATTGTACGGAGTAAAGTTCCAAGCAATGCTAAAACACTGAAATGAGTTTAATTTTATTACATTTTTACATCAACCTCATATATAATTTCAAATCTAAAATTTAAGAAAAAAAAAAACTTTAAAGGTGTTTTTTTATATAATTTTCAAAAAAATTTCCGGCTAACAATATTTTTGTAGAAATTAACCTGAATTTCTTGCAGATTAAATAAGTTAAAAACAGTAATTTTCAGTTAGGTGCAAATGTTTTTTTTTTTTTTTTTACTATTAAATTTTCTACTGTTAAATTGTTAATAAAATGCTTATAGTGAACGCGAAGAAGACTGGGTGAAAAAGGTAGAGAATGCTGTTTTAGAGAAGTGCGAGAACGATGGCGCTCGAATTCTTCATATTCATGTTGACATTAACTCTAGAGAGGTTTTTTTGGATTTTTTTATTTATCAAACTAAAATTTGTGTATGAGTTTAATTAATTTTTTAATGAAATTTTTTTAGGGCTGTGTTTATGTCAAGTGCGATACCCTTGAATCGGCTAGGAAAGCATTTAGAAGCATGTACGGAAATTGGTTTGATGGTATGTATTAAATTTAAATGATAAGATTCAGATAACCAAAGTTTTTTTGTTTGATAAAAATTTAAACCTTTAATTTGAAGGTCGTCTCGTGATTGTTAAGTTCGTTACCTTGGCACGTTATCACCAACGTTTTCCGGATGCTCTTAAATGTGTTCAAGCGCTTTCACCATCAGGATCTAACGCCGTAGTAAACTCTAACAAAGACATATAATAAAAAGATTAAAGTTTGGAGTGTCACGTTTTGTGAATTTTGTACAAAAGGAACTCAATAATAAAGGAATACTTGAGCATCGCATTAGGAAAATCATAATAAAGATATTATTTTGCCTGAGTAGAATTTTGATAGCTTTCGTTCTAAAGAGATTTTTGTTGAAACTTTTTCAACAGAGACGTAAAATATTTTAATTTTCTGTATTGTTATTGTTTTCATTAGAAAATGCTTACCCCAATTTATTGTCTTTTTCGAAATCAGTTTATTATCTTTTTTTTCTTTAAATTATATCCTATTTAAAAGTATTTGCACAAATATTAAAGTTTTTTGGCTGTAATGCTTGGTATGGACAGCAAAATTTCAAATTTTGCAAATTTGATCATCCAAAATATAATACACTTTTCAGACTAAGAAGTTATTTTTTTCGGACTGTAAGATATAAACTACTAATATCAGAAATGTTTAAAAGCCACTTTAAAGTTTACTAATAAAATGAATATATTAAGTAAAAGATCTGGTTTTATTTTAATAAAATTTGCAGTTATTCCAATTTTTTCGTTTTTAATCGTGGTAGAATATTTCTCATGAACTAGGTTTATGATATTTCTCAAAAATAAAGAAAAAAAGAACGTGGGTACTCAAAGAAAACCTTCAGGTCTTGTCACAGAGAACCGTTTAGATGAAATTAGAACTTGATTATTGTCGAAGCATAACCACTGAATCTTATTAATCGCTATAAAATCACTTAATATGATTTATACTACTTGATACAATATGTTATAATAAATGCAACTCAGAAAAAAGGAGAGAACAAAATTATACTTTTTGTAACTCTAAATTGTATTATGAAAATAATACTCTACATCGTATTATGAAACTGTCTGTTTTAGACATTAAATTAAAATCAGTTTTTGAAAACATTTCTGGTATCACAACGTCAACCCAAAAATATTTTACGACAAATACATAAAGTTGTAAAGTTTCTATAAACGATAAACGCAAAGTAATAGATGCAATCAAAACATTGTAAGATATGTTATATGTACATTCAGTTTTTTAACCATTTTTCCACATCGTCAGGTAAAGTATGAAACATGAAAACCTCAACATCATTCAATTCAAACATTGTTTATTTTCCATCGCTACGAGCGTGATGGAAAACGACATACATCAGTATAACTAACAAGCTAATATTAAAAACCAATTTACGCATCTACACATCAGTCAAAAGGTTTTATAGGATATTCTATAAAAAGGATGAAGGACATTCCTATAAGAAATTGGAACAGGGTTTTCTATGGGATAACGCAAATAAATACAATCTATTGGAAGTTCTTTAGGATAGGATTCCTATATAATCCTGTTCCAAAATCTTATAAAAGTTTTATTCTCGACACCGAATAAATAATATTCTAATTTAATATGTACAGAAATCCTACTTAGTTAAGGTGGTAGTATACCATTAAAATAAAAATCTTGCATTTTCACTTTTTTTTTTAAATTTTTAAGAGTGTATAATAAATATTATATGATTAAAATATAAGTAAAAATTTTAAAATTTTAAAAATTAATTATGCGCATAGTTATTGATAGACAAAAGCCTAAAAATGAATAACTGGCAACAGGGTTTTTTCAGCAACCTTAAATAAATTTGAACTGAAATTTTGGCTTGTGATCCTTTATTTATGTAATTATAACATACACTAAAAGTTTTGGATTTTGACCCAAAAAAGTCAAAATATATGCATTTTAGTTATATTTTAAAGTTTTGGTGTTATTAGAGAACACAAAATCACTCACAAAAGTAGAACACAATTAGCTCTAAACATAATATTAGTAGAGGTTGCAAATACATGCGTTACAAACAAGTGTGTTAAATTTCAGATCAAATCAGTAATTGTGTTGAAAAATATCTCTGAAAAAAATATCTAATCAAATAACGTAACTAAAAATTGTAGTCCATTATTAAAGTATAGGACAGCTGATGCTACTCCAACACATAAAGCAGTTCTTTCAACAAATATATTATTCGGACACCGCTTCCAAATCAATTGATTCAAGGATTCATAAAAATTTTGTGCTTTACCGTGCAAACACTTTTCTAAAAGAATATCACTTCCAAGATCTGTAAACATTAGTTCTATAAAATCTCGAACAGCAGCAGGAATACAAATATTTTTTTATGTTTTTTTCAAGTTACTTTATCATTCTGGAATTTGCACCAAGAATTCTTGGTGCGCAAACAAAATTAATGGCGTGTTTCATTGTCATAACTTTCAGAACAGTGAAAAAGAGCAGTTGCTACACTTTTTTTCATTGCATATAAACTACCAATGTTCTGTCTGATTGCTTTGCCATAGTAATTTTGTAATGTGTTAAGTAGGATTTTTGTACATATAAAACTATAGGATATCATTCGGTGTTTTATAGGATAAAAACTCCTATAAGATTTTGGAATAAGATTGAACAGGATTCCTTTACATTAACTATAAGATATTGTTCATTCAGTGGTTCAGTGAACAATATCTAATAGTTTTATATGTACCGTAATTCGATTCAATCTTGTTTGAAATTTTATCAGATAGCCCTTTGCAGTTGTTAAAGGATATTTAATAGGAATATCCTCTAGGGTATTCCTAAATGATTTAAAACAAGTGTGTATATAATATTGGTAAATCTTTGGCATTATCCTTTAGTTCTAAATTTAAAGTAATTATATACTCAATTGTTAAATATCATTAGAAAGAGCTTCAATAGAGTATTTTAAAAGTGAAAAAATTATCAAAATCCAACATGCCTACTAAAGGTTATGACGTTTTAAGTACCAATTTTTCGATATGCGGATTTGTTGAAGAAACTGTGGTCAAAATTTAATTTTCCTTTGAAAATTGTTATGACTTTGTCAATACTTATCTAAAAATCTATATCTTGGAATCAAAAGATAGATGTATGAAAGGACTATGTGTTTACGTTGGCCACTAGCCAACGTAAGAAAGGAAAGGCGTTTGGTCCTCCTCCTCCGCCTTAGACCTAAACCCTAAAAAAAAATTGTGCGCTAAAGCTACAAAAACAAAATTTAAAAGCAACTATGATACCTAATGTCGCTTGGTATAACCGGAGTTGGAACTGCTCCGCCATTTTAGCTATCAAAAAATACATATTTCTTTAAACTAAAATCAAAGTTTTCTTTTTATAATCATATTTTTATCTATATTCATTTTTTTATTAAAACTATTAAAACAAATTAAATTTGTATTTTACTTGATTACAACATATACCAGTGGTGCATAGGTTGACATATACACACTCGCAGATAGTGTGGAGCTTTCCTTTCCACTGGCGTGTAGCTGTAACTCCTAGACACAAGTGTGGAGTTATTTTGCACTCTTTTGTGGAAATTAACTTTTTCAAACCCGACTTTTGCATAGAAGTGTGTAGTTATTTCCACAAAAGTGTGCAAAATAACTCCGCTTTTGTGTCTAGGAGTTACAGCTACACACCGGTGTGGAAGAAAAATTCACAGTGTATAGGGTGAAGGAAGCGGGCGGGGAGGAGCAAGCGGGGAGAAGCGTATGGTCCTCCTCCTCCGCTTTTGACCTAGACCAAAAAAAAATTTCATTGCTTTTACTGTGCATTAAAGTTTCTAAAACGAAATTTAAATGCAATTATGATACCTTGTGTCGCTTGGTATAACCAGAGTGGGTTGCTTCGCCATCTTTACTATACAAAAATACATATTTCTTTAAATTAAAATAAAAGAATGATACAATTTTATAATTATTTGTGTTGTTATAAAATGTCTAAAAATTATTATTAAAAACATGCTAAAAATTATCTATTAATCTGTGTTGTGTTCATTTCTTTTTGGAGTAGGGTAATTGCCCCCTCTTAACCAAATTAAAAAAATATATATATATAATTTTTAATTACACAAAAGATGTATTTAGTTACTTTAATTTGTCTTGGCTTTCAGTAAATGATTAAGAATAAAATTTCCATTAATGAAATTATATAAAAATTATTTTTAACGATAGACACAACGTGAAGGTAAGCCAGAGCCGTCTATCGAAAATTTTATGGAAGTTTTATCTCTTGCGATACCTTTTTGCAAGTCACAACACCAGTGATATCTTTATTGGCATTATTAAACATTAAAATTATGAAAAAAGTACACATTAAGACTATCAACCAATAACACACATTAACATTAAGAAAATATTAATTCTCCTGAAACAACATCAGTAGCAAACTGGAATTTTTTAATGCAATAATCAACAGCTTCAGAATCCGTTTCATCTTGTTCCCAGTAAGAAATAGTATAAATTCTGTCTTGCAATCTTTTCTTTACTTTTTCTACTCTGCCATCATACATGACAGACTTAGATTGTTCAGTATCATACCATTCATTGCATAACTTTCTACCAACAGTTCTCTAAGACATAACATCTTCTAAATCATCAAGTTGTTTTGTAGTCAATTGTTTACACAAATTTTGTATTTGTCTGAAAGTCAGTAATTTCAATTTTCTTTCTAACTTTCTTTTTTTTTCTTCATCTAATATTTGGCGTTTGTAGGTCTGCCTAAAAAGAAATTTATAATTAAAATAATAACTAAACTTATTTTAGATTTAAATTTATTGAAATTTATGCTCAACAATAGAAATAGTAAAAACCTTTTTATGTCGATATCCATAGTTTACGTAACTTCTATATAGAATATTTAAAAAAGAATTTGATATATCAGATGTAAAATAAAATCAAATATTATTTTAATAATTTTGAAAATATTGTTATTATATTAATAATATAATCATTAATAATATTATCACTAATAACACTATTATTTAAATTAATAGAATAAATAAAAATTAATAACTTGTCTTTATTATTTAACAATATTACAATAGTAAGTTTAACTATAATCATTATAATTATAACTTACAATTGTAATTTATGGTCCATTATTATAATGGACCATAAATTATATTGCAATTCACCATTAAATTGTGTATAGGTAACTATGTACATTGTACATTGTTATAATTTATTAGTAATAATGTATACATATGTATACATTATTACTTTGGTCTAAACGAAATTCTCAATCTAATATCACCCCCTCCCCCAATACAGAATTCAGGAAAAGGGATTTTAGGTACCAAAACTGCGACACTTTTTATGGTATCTGCGACTAAACATTTTTTTCTGAAATTTGGCAGGTGCTTAGATAATGTGTATA